TATTGATATATTTGTGATCAACGAGGTAAGACTTTAATGGCGAATTTCATTGGTGATCAATATAGTTCGATTTGGAGAAAACTAAAATCCAAAATTGTAACTTAAAATTATCAGCGTGCAACGCACGCGTACATCAACTAGTTTTATTAAATACAAAAAAAAAAAAAAAAGAATCATCTTCCTACTTACCATCTTTTCAACCAAAAATAAACATAAAGAAATGAAAGATTCCTTCTTTGAATGGTAGGAATATATCACTCTTATTTTCTATTATTTTATTTTTTATTCACCCTACTAATTGCACCATAAAAAAAGGCAGAGACATTATATTTCATTATCTATTTCACAACTCACAAACTTATATCAGTCAAGAATAATATCTATACAATAAAAAACATAATCGAGCTTTATACAAAGCACAACAACAATCTAAATTATTTAAATTTGATGACTTATATTATAATTATAATTATATTTTTTTAATTATAGTAACTCAATATATTTATATTTAATCTTTTAACCACGATAAATTTTTTTTAAAAAAAAAGTGTTTTAGACAGGACACCCTAATAAACTAAATATCACATGATGACCCTATTAATATAATATTCAAATGTCTAGCTAAAGCAATTCATGCGCTTTCTTTTTCTCCAAAAATTATTGGGAAAGCACTAGCATTTATAGCATTTACACCAGTAAAAGTAATATGCCCAAAGAAGATGATATAGATGATAGAGGCTAGTTGTTATAGAAAGAAGATGATACGGTGGTAGCTGTCGGCGTGGTGGTGGAGGCGGCGGTGTGATGATAGGGGCAGTGCCCGAAGGCCCGACAGACCTCGAGAGCATGGCTTTCCTCACCTCTGAGACAGCTTCCATGGTTGCAGCAGAGATTGGTGGCGAATTGAACATGTCGTTGGGGGAAGGAGTGTGCTCGGTGTCTAGGTTTGGATCCACCTCAAGATCTTCCTCCTCTCCCTCAGAAGAAGAACGGTCTTCCCAAAGTGAAGAGTCGAATGATGGTTGGATTTGAGACAATCTGGAGTAGGTGAGGTGGTAGCTGAGGAGAACATGCGCCGCCCGAGCAAGGGGATCCGCCAGATTGTGAGACCAAACTCTCACCAAATCTTCAATGTTGATTTGAGACATCAAGGGTTGGGTGGCGTCAGCTCTGTATCTGTCTGCAAAAAAGTACAGGGATGGTTAGAAACAACAGTAAGACGCCGAGCATATTAAAAGTTTGTATAAAACACACCTAGATCGCTTGACACTTTGGAGCAGTACAATCCATTATACTCGGCCCCTTCTCCTTTCTCCCAACTCCTGCCGAGCATGATCAGATCATCTACGTACCCCTTGTCCGAATCCAGCATATGGGTCACCAGATACATAGAGGTGTCCTGAGCCTAGAGGTAGTACCTGTCCCCAGTGACCAGTCTTATGTTATAGTAGAACAAGATTTCGTCTACCCCCAGGTTTACCCCATGCCGAGCATTCAGAGCAACCACGCCCATGACAAGCCTAAAGAAGTTCACTCCACATTGGAGCGGAAAAAGTCTCAAATGCATTAGCATCCTCAGCAATAGGGGATGAAAAGGGAATGTTATCCCCCATTTCATAATGGCTTTGGTGTAAAAAGGCATCATCTCTACACTTCCTATATCTGTCCTATGGAACTCAGGATCAAAAAGAAAGGGAAAAAAGGGCTCAGAAATTTGTTATTTGTCCCTAAATGCTTGGATGTTGTTCTCATTTACTTTGGTTATTCTCAACTTTCGGTTCACCCTAGCCCTAACTGGCTCCCTGACCACTATCCTACGTATTCTTGCCATGAGTGGAGTCTAGAAGAAATGTAGGAGGAGAGAAAAACAAGAAACAAATTTGAAATGGAGAAAATACTTATAGATTGTAGGTCTTCAAGATGAGAGCTCAGGAAAGTAAAGAAGAGTGTTCGGGAAGAGAAGGGAGAGCTCGGGAGTTGATTGCTAAGAAGGGATTCGAGAATGCAAAGTCTATAAGTGGCCAAGAAATCTCCTATTTATACCCTGCTATGGGAGCGGGAATCAAAAAGGCAAAATAATCATTTGAAAAGAGTTGCGCCAGACATGCAAGTAACCGCCCTTATTGATTAGGCGTGTTTGGCAAGCCACTACTCTCTTTGCGCCACTTGTCTCACGTCTCAAAGAAAATGGAGGTTGGGGGCCAGTTGACGAGACTTTAGACGTCTTAGCAACCCCCAGATTGACATGCGTAAAGACGTAACCGTTGGAAAACTCAAAAGACGCCAAGGTTTGGTGCTGAAGAGTAATGACTCAGAAGAGCCGAGTACACAAAAAGGCACAAGCATTTAAGAAGACATGATAGCTCATTAATGGGATGTGAATGACTAGGACAGGGCTATTAATGAACCTCTGCATCCTTAAGACTCTAAAGCAACAGTCATGATGGCGAAACATTAATGTCTATCGTGCCGAGTATATTCCCTCGGCACGCACCGAGTATTGTTCCCCGAATAGTGAAGGCTTGCGAATAGGTGTCAGGTGCCGATCAAATGAGCTTAATTGCGTCAGGGATAACCATAAGTGTTCGGTGTGGCCCTGAGCACTTGTCTTGTCACTCGATCATTAAAGGCATGAAGATCTGAGCAAAGGGCATTTGTTACGCATGGAAATGGGTGCAGATCAATAAATGTTAAGATGGGACTGTCAGTCCTTGCACTCATTACTAATACAAGTATAAATACTACTCATAAGGGTGAACCAAGGTACACAAGGCTAAACTGAGACAAAAGAAATACTGTGTTTTAGCCTCCAAACTAATACTAACATAGGCTTTGGAGGGGATAAATCGGGTGTTCACTCGACCCCTTATATGACTTTATGGTTGTTTCAGGTTCATCATCGTGAGGACTACTATCTCAATCTATTGCAGGAAATCTCTCATGCATAAGTCTAACTTAAAATGATATCTACCCAATGCGTGACGAACTTTCTGAAAGCTCAACCGCACTTCAACTCTTTGTCTAGAAAAATCTATTGATTTGATCCGAATTTAAATTTCATTAATCGGATTATATCTGCCAATGCATTCAATTTCGTTGTCTAAGATATTGAAATTGAACACCTATACTGAAATTGAATATAGATTCTAAAATTAAGTCATTCGCATAATCAACTTATTGAATCCTTTTAAAAAAGGAACTAAAGCACATATAGAAGTTTAGACGTCACACATAGTTGATTCTACTTCTCTGTTAGTAGAATAATATTTAAATTCAATTATCATTATTTTATTTTTAAATAGAAAGGATTGAGAAGTATTTCTTAGCAAAATGACTAACTAAAACATTTTTAGGAATATTCAATTAGTTTATTCCAATTAAATTTTGTCATATATCCACATAACTATTTTTTCCTATACTGGTTTTGTAATCATCCATTTGATTACTTTTTTCATTAAAAATTCATAACTTTTTTTTATTACAAATGATGCTATAAATATTCAATTAAGGATGAGATAAAAATGGTTTCTATGGGATGTGTGCGTGGATAATGTGGAAATGGGCCGACTACAGTAATATTTTTATAGAAAAACAAGTCTCATACGACTCACATATATAATTAATTTGGTTTTGGAAAAAATTCCAACAAATTGAATGGGTAAAACACTGAAAGTTTTCAAATTGATCATAGACAATTGCGGACCATGGGACACAAGCCAACCCAGAATTTTTTTTTCCCTTTACATTTTCTATATATTTCTTAAGCATATTAATTATGGCTACCATATTAATTTCTTTCATATTGATTAGTATGGATCCACACCAATATAATTGTGATACCCTCCGATATATATATTTTATTCGTAATACCCTCCAATATCTATTATTCATTCAATCATAAATAACCTACAATAATTATTATAAACATTAATATGGTTATTATTATTATTATTATTATTATTATTATAAGTTCCAATATGATCATTAAATAAGATTGAATAAAACAAATTGAAGACCATTTGAATGCTAATATGAAACCTAGAAGAATAGACAAGGTTGTTTAATGCACAAACAAAACACTAAAACAACTGTAGATGGAGTTTAAATTAAGGTGGTGTATAGGAGAGTAAACATAAAAGAAACTAAATAAACTCTAGCTTTGTATTTCCATTATAACAAGGGAAACAATGAGATATCACAAAAGAAAATAAATAATCTATTATTTATATTTACACATTCTAATGAAAGAACTATAGTTTTATATCTACATCCTCATGACACAACTATAGTTTTATAGTTATATCCTAATGATAGAATTATAAGGATATGTATAAGACATTTCTTGTTTCTACCAGATATTAGAGTAAATTCAAAGTCAAAAACCAGTATTTAAATGTCATAAAAATCGCTGCTTGATAACCTCACGGGAAACATAGAACTCTTCTAATTTGTTCTTTGTCCCAGATTGTATCAATCTTATGCTCTCCTTCTTGAAAATTTCATTAAAGTCTTCAATTACTTTTTCCAAATTCTTATTGCCAATAATCAAATGCATGGTACTAACACTTTGGATCAATTTCTTCATCTTGTACATCGGTCGAGAATAATAACAAGTGACTAGGGAAAACAAGTAACAGTCCGTAATACCACAATATACTTCTCATAACCCCACTAATCTCCTAAATCCTCAGTGTCCCATGAATCAATTGGTTGGATGTAAATGGTCTGCAATAATATTGGAACTCCAGTAATAAACATAAAGGTGCCAGAGATGAATGTGCGACAAAGATGATCCTATTTGTTCCAAAATAAACTGGATAGGAAAAGTGATAAATAGAAAATGAGGGTAAGTGTGGAGATGATAGTTGATAGACTACTCAAGATGGACTTGGTGAAGAAAAAGTCAAGGTCGAAAAATAATGAGGTATGGAGTAGGATTTTCCACAATGGAGAAAACATTATTCAGATGATTGTATGTTTCAGAAAAATAATTCATTTCGTTAGAAGGACTTGTCTGTGAGAATTGGGATATGTGAGTGGGAGAAGTAAATGAGACTGGTGATCTGACCATAGGTGTTGCAAATGGAGTTGACGATGGTTGTGAAGGTCGAGCACATGCTTACAACAGTGTTACTGAAGTAGGTGGTGCCGGCATTGGTTAGAGTGGAATTGCCGGCGACAATATCTTTCCAAGCACAATTAGAAGAAAAGGATATCATGGTGGTCGTGGCCTTGACATGGGAGGAGATGGTGGCAGAGGCGGTGGCGCTAACGGTGATGACAGTGAAGCTGCAGAGATGGCAGTATCTGTCCAAGCCTAACTAGAAGAAGAGACCGAGGTGGTCGTGGCCTTAATAGAGGAGGAAGAGATGGTGGTGGAAAGGGCAGTGCCAATGGTGATAACAGTGGAGGTTCAGATGGTTGTAGCAGTCCAAGGCCNAAACACTAAAACAACTGTAGATGGAGTTTAAATTAAGGTGGTGTATAGGAGAGTAAACATAAAAGAAACTAAATAAACTCTAGCTTTGTATTTCCATTATAACAAGGGAAACAATGAGATATCACAAAAGAAAATAAATAATCTATTATTTATATTTACACATTCTAATGAAAGAACTATAGTTTTATATCTACATCCTCATGACACAACTATAGTTTTATAGTTATATCCTAATGATAGAATTATAAGGATATGTATAAGACATTTCTTGTTTCTACCAGATATTAGAGTAAATTCAAAGTCAAAAACCAGTATTTAAATGTCATAAAAATCGCTGCTTGATAACCTCACGGGAAACATAGAACTCTTCTAATTTGTTCTTTGTCCCAGATTGTATCAATCTTATGCTCTCCTTCTTGAAAATTTCATTAAAGTCTTCAATTACTTTTTCCAAATTCTTATTGCCAATAATCAAATGCATGGTACTAACACTTTGGATCAATTTCTTCATCTTGTACATCGGTCGAGAATAATAACAAGTGACTAGGGAAAACAAGTAACAGTCCGTAATACCACAATATACTTCTCATAACCCCACTAATCTCCTAAATCCTCAGTGTCCCATGAATCAATTGGTTGGATGTAAATGGTCTGCAATAATATTGGAACTCCAGTAATAAACATAAAGGTGCCAGAGATGAATGTGCGACAAAGATGATCCTATTTGTTCCAAAATAAACTGGATAGGAAAAGTGATAAATAGAAAATGAGGGTAAGTGTGGAGATGATAGTTGATAGACTACTCAAGATGGACTTGGTGAAGAAAAAGTCAAGGTCGAAAAATAATGAGGTATGGAGTAGGATTTTCCACAATGGAGAAAACATTATTCAGATGATTGTATGTTTCAGAAAAATAATTCATTTCGTTAGAAGGACTTGTCTGTGAGAATTGGGATATGTGAGTGGGAGAAGTAAATGAGACTGGTGATCTGACCATAGGTGTTGCAAATGGAGTTGACGATGGTTGTGAAGGTCGAGCACATGCTTACAACAGTGTTACTGAAGTAGGTGGTGCCGGCATTGGTTAGAGTGGAATTGCCGGCGACAATATCTTTCCAAGCACAATTAGAAGAAAAGGATATCATGGTGGTCGTGGCCTTGACATGGGAGGAGATGGTGGCAGAGGCGGTGGCGCTAACGGTGATGACAGTGAAGCTGCAGAGATGGCAGTATCTGTCCAAGCCTAACTAGAAGAAGAGACCGAGGTGGTCGTGGCCTTAATAGAGGAGGAAGAGATGGTGGTGGAAAGGGCAGTGCCAATGGTGATAACAGTGGAGGTTCAGATGGTTGTAGCAGTCCAAGGCCAACCAGAGGAGGAGACCGAGGTGGTCGTGGCAGATGAGGAGTTGGTGGCGGGAGTGGGGCTTGTGACGGCTCACTGACGTGTTGTCGAAAACGATTTCAGAAGACTCATTGGAAGAATTTTTATAGATTTGGTCAGCCATTGATATTTTCCTCCAATACATTACAACTCAACAATCCAAGGCAGAAATATGTAGTGGTGTAATCTCATTACTTCTTTAAGATATGAAAACTTCTTTTGCCGTTCACATTGAGGAAAAATTAAGTTAGATTAGGGGATTATTTCATGAAGAAAAAAAGTTGGGAGGCATTCGGAAACTTAAACATGCATTGGTGAGAATTTGGGAAGGAAATATTTTGACACTATTTTGGTATTTTGATCAGAAATTTTTACCCCAATGTCCTATTTACCTGATCTTTATGGTATTATAAAGTAGACTTCAAGGATTTCAAAAGTGTATTTTCATGAAGTTTTCGTTAATTGATCTCTACCTTTGTCAAAATTACATTAGAAGTTTGAAAAAAAACTTATCTGCGTATAGATAGTTGGAAATGTTCGTTTGGGTGCAACACACAAAAAGACAAACATAAAGTTATGTGTCCGAATGATCCAAAAGTGTTATTTAATTATATTTAAGGATGGGTTAATTACAAATTATTTAAGATTACATGTGTTACATTTTTTATTTTTTTAACTTGATATTTATTTTAGTTATTTGTTTCATTTTGTAGGTAATTTAGATGATTTCTGATAATAATAAAATAATCCAAGTTGACCAAATAATGCAGAAAAAATTTGGTTATAATAGGGGATGATTTGAAGAACAAAAGAAGTTGGGAGGCATTTCAAAACATAAACACGCATTGGTGAGAATTTGGGAAAGAAAGATTTTGACACTAATATAGTAATCTTTGCGGCATTAAAAAGTGGACTTCAAGGACTACAAAAGTGTATTTCATGAAATTTAGTGAATCGACCTCTCACTATGCCAAAATCGTGTTGAAAGTTTGTACAAAAACTTAAACGCATCTGGAAGGTTGGAAATGCTCGTCCAGATGCAACAAGCAAAAAGACCAACATAAAGTAGTGTGTCTAGACGAACCAAAATACGCTTTCGGATAGAATGGGAAGATTTTCTAAGAACAGGTCTTTGATTCTGTTTAGAATTTCTTTAATTTCCTAATGTTTATATAAACTTTTGTAAACACTAAGAAGGACCATTCATCTCTCAGCCCCTCTTCTTTAGTTCTAGTTTTTGTTTTATTTTTTTCATGGATTGTTAAATCCCCAACTAAAATTAATGGTGATTATTCTAATGAAACATGATATTAATGATGATTATTCTAATGAAACATGATATTTATTTTTTATCCACTATTCTTTAATGTATGATTTTTCTATTTAATCATTTCATGTCTTTTAGTAAATTTTTTGCTATGTAAAATATCTTGATTTGTTATGCCACGTGCATCGAATGTTTATGATTCTCTGCGAGTCAAATAATTAGTTTTTCATGCTTGAATTAATTAATTGGAATTTTCATAAAATACTTGATTTCTTGTTTGCAATAAAAAAAATAATGTTCTTTATTGGAGATCTAGATTCATTGTTGACTCCGAGGACGATGAATTCTTGTGATCTACAATTAAATACTAATTTTTATCTAGATAATTTTTTAGTTATACATTTAGATACGTTCTTAATATTATCACCGCTATATACTTCGATTAAGATCACTCGTCAACAGATTTTTAATTGAGTTCAAAAATTCGATCATAAATAATATTTTCTGTTTATTTTTTTTTTTTAATTTCATTGTGTTCCTACTTCACCAATTTCTTGTGGTTCGACATCGGACTTCCGATTTTTATTAGTCTGGAACATCCTATAATGATGCACAAAGTTAATTATGTGCAATCAAATCAATCGAGTGTGTGGTATAAAGTAATTAATGAAACAATTAATAATAAGAGGCAAAGATTTGATGGTTGGGTCTAGGTGACCTAACCACTGATGACGGTAATAGTGGCCGGAGAACTTTATTAATGAGAGAATCCAAGGTAATAGGAGATAAAGAGAGATAGCAAGAGTACACTCACAGTATAGTGTGTGTGTTCTGCCCCTATGTGTAGAAGGTTTACATTTTATAGACGTAGAGCCCTAGTTGAGGCGGTGATGTGAGGGTTAAGATATTAGCTTATCGGGGAGGCTAGCTACAATTAGGGATGTACATTATCCTGAAGTAATGGCTATCACGATGATTGCTCTTCAACGTGCGTTGACTCTTCCTAGACTCTTGAACTTTAGATTGGACCAAAGTCATGAGCTAATCATAACCTGCCTTTTGATGATTTAGGCTCAACCCATGGACCGGGCCCTGACCTGGTCTGGATCTAGGCAAGTCATTTGCCCCCCATGCCCCAAGCCTAGTAGTGATAGGGGATTGAGGGCATGAGTGAGCTTTTTCATTTGGATAAACCAAGGTATCTTGTTCCTCACGGTGGCTGCTTCTTTTCAACTTTCCTCTCTATTACATTTTTTAAGCTTATTTCCTCATTTGGTAGTACCATTGTTGGACACCCATTGTGCTAGCAAACAAATTCCTTTGTTAGGTCTCTGATTGGATTTGGAATTAGAAACCCCTTTTTTTCTTTTAAGGTAACAAGCTTAGGGTTTTAGAGAGTTATATATAGACCCAAGAGTGAGCTGCCCATATTCATTTTTTTCTTTCAAAACCCATCTTTCCTAATTAGAGTTAGGACAGTGTCATTCTCTTTCTTCCTTCCACAAGTAGCAGAGAGGATGAAGAGATGCATGGACGTTTCTGCGCGAGGAGATGGAGATGCTTTTGCAAATAGTGCCTTGGAAAGAGAGAGAGGCTTGGGTGACAACATGAAGATGAACCTGGGTGTCGCTAGGGGAGGCATGAAGCTGAGTGGAGCTGGGGAGGGCAATGTAGGAGCTAGGTTGGGTAGCGCCAAGGCGACTCTGAAGAGTTGGGCAACGCCAGGGGAGGCGCGAGGTTGGGCAGCGCTAGGGGCGAAACCATGGAGGACCTAGGCAAACTAATGATGTCTTCGGTTCCCAAAAATTCTCTCTTTTATTCAGACTCCATACGTGATCCCATAGTTAATAGATCAATGATGGAGGCTTTTTATGTCACTAGGATGACAACTTCCCCTCCTCCTAAGAGAGTGATTTCTGATGCCCCCAGTGCTTCCTAGCTATGGTTTGATGGCCTTTTTGTTTCTTGAAAGGTCGGGTCTGATGATGTCCCCACTTTTTCTCAGCATGTGACCCTTTAAGTCCTGGGACAACTTTAGATATTAAGACTCCTGTGCCAACTCCCACTAAGACCAGAGCTCCGTATAATTGTCCTACTTCCAGTAGTGGCCTAGTGTCCATGCTGCAGGACATGAATTTGGCCAAAGAGTGACTTTAGAGGTTTGTGACACCCTCAGATATCAGAGAGGTCTGCTCTTAGGGTCCTAAGGGTATCATCGATACCGCGATAGAGAGCTTTGTCATGGTGCCTTATTTTCTGTGCAATCTTGTCTTTGGTATGTTTTGGTCATACTGACATTCTTACTTTTGGATATATACAGATGGTTTTAGCTTTTTTGTGTCTTCTTTCGAGGATACTCAAACTTGATGAGGTGTCAAGAGCTTTAGCGAAAGAGAGACGGGCACGCCAGGCTGCTGAGGAGTAGTTGAGGTTGGCTCGTGAGAGAGCAACATCTCTTGAGGCCAAGCTTTCGGGAGATTGAGGTCCCTTGTATGGGAGCAGAGCCAAAGGTAGGTCAAGCTTTTAGTAACTCGTGAGAGAGTCGCTAAGCTAAGGATTAAGGTTGCTTACGTGAGAGGAGAGACAGAGTGAGACCGAGATTTTGGTGACTCGCTAGAGAGCCACAAAGCTACAGACTAAGGCTACTTGCGTGAGAGTAGAGGCAGAGTAAGATAGAGCTTTCGGGAGACCAAGGCTGTTTGTGTAGCAGTGGAGACAAAGTCAGGCCGAGCTTCTGACAACTTGTGAGAGAGCTGCTAAGTTGGGGACTAAAGCTGCTTGCGTAAGAGTAGAGGTAGAGTAAGGTCGAGCTTTTGGTGACTTGTTAGAGAGCTTCTAAGTTGGAGATTACGGTACCTTGCGTGAGAGTAGAGGCAGAATTAGGTTGAGATTTTGGTAACTCGAAAAGCTCTCTCCTAAGAGACGAAGAAGATGAGGGAGATAATAGTGAGGGTAGCCAGACGATGTTGGTGGGACAGAGTCACCAAAGCATGGGAGTTGAGCGCTGGAGGCAAGGGTTCCAGATTTGTCAAGAGGGGTGACGCCTAATGCCAGAGGTGCTACTAAACTAGTTGGGCACGTGATGCAAGCATGGGCAACTTCACAATGGTGACGTGCCTAGGTGGTAGAGCAGATAGGCACCAAGAGGAGGGCGACGAGGTGCATGGGCACGCTAGCTAATGAACAGCGGGGGCACTGGTTATGCAGACGCACAAGTACAGACACTAGGTACCAAGCGCTAGTGTGGGATGCCGTGAACGAAGGCGAGGGCATTGAGTGCCATGGGCAAGGGCAAGGGCACCAAGCATCGAGAGTGAGGGCGAAGGTGAGGGCATTGCAGGAAAGGGTGGTAAGTGTCACAGTTGGTTATGCACTTCTTTGATTTTTTCATCCCAGTGAGTGGGGGATTGGTCGTTGTAGTGACTATCATGGTCCACATACTAGTTTTCTCTCTAGTCTTCTTGAAAAGGAGGGTCACCAGCATGGGAGGATAGAATCGGCTTACGAGGAAGGGGAGCCGGTGTGCCTTGGCATTAAGGAGGGGCGCCTGGAGCTGCAATTGGGCATCCTGACGCTGTTTGAAGCCTCCCTTGCGACCCGGGTGAAGTGTCTGGAGTGTGGGTGCTGGGGCACGACTCTTTGATGGCGCCCGACAAGTATCAACTGAAGGATCTGTTGGTTTTGGTTCACCAACAACTACATAGTCTCCAGTAACTTTTACTATGGTTTAGGGATATGATTTGTTGGCGAGGGCAAGATCTCCTCCTGTCATTGTTGATCATCTTCTGTTTGTTGATTCATGGATCTAGTCGTAATGGTTATAAGAAAAGGGAAAATAGTAAGGTCAGAGGGACAAACTTAATTATGCATAATCAAATCAATGGAGTGTATGATGTAAAGCAATTTATAAAACAATTAACAATAAGAGACAAAGATTAGGTGGTTGGGTTTACATGACCTGACCACTGAAGGCGGCAACAGTGACCCGATAATTCTTTTAATGAGAGAATACAAATCAGCAAGAGAGAGAGAGAGAGAGTACACTCAAAGTGTAGTGTGTGTGTTCTTCCACCATGTGTAGGAAGTTTACAATTTATAGGCACAGAATCCTAGTTGAGGCGATGACAAGAGGATAAAGGTACTAGCTTATGGGGAAGGCTAGCGACAATTAGGGATGAACATTATCTTGATGTAATGGCTATCCCGATTATTGTTCTCTCATTTGCATTGACTCTTTTTGTATTCTTGTGCTTTGGACTGGACTGAAGCCATGAACTAAGTTTGGCCTACCTTTTGATGATTCAGGTTCAACCCATGGACTGAATTTGGGCTCGTCGACCTACACTCGAATGATACATAATTTAAGTTGTAGCAAGCTGTTCATTAAATGATAAATCTCTATGACTATTAATTAATAGTGTGATTAATTCAACCTTAAACATACGAAAATGTATGTTCGAAGTGATGCACCTCTTATAATTTTCTTCAATTATATTAAAAATTAGACTTGATAATCTCAACCATTGAATAGGTAATGAGTCTCAATAAATGCTGGGATTCACAGTGAAATCAATGGTTGAGATTATCAAGTCTAATTTTTAAGTCTATTTTTTAAGTACATGTAGCATTACTCTTATATCTATTTATGTATATTGCCCTGATATTAATTCTCATTGTGAAGTAATGTTTTATTTATATGAAATAGTAAATATATTTAAATCACCTTAATTTCATTTATAAGATGAAAGGACTTTAGAATGTTTTATATAAAAAAGATTAATTGAATGATTTAAGAGATATTTAAGTACATTACCCCAATCAAATTTTGGCTATCTCTGCACAACTATTTTTTCTTATATTTTTTCATAATCACCTATTTGAAATTGTTTGTAAAAGAATTAGTAATACTCGCCGCCATGCCAGCAAGAATCCAGAGATCCTGTGATCCCACTGAGGGACGTGCCACCAAGGTGCCAAGGTGCCAAGTGCCCCCCTCAGGTGATCGGCAAAGGGACCGTAGAGGCCGACACCTCGAGGCGTCGGAGGAGCGCCGAACCAAACAGCACCACGATGTCCCGGCGCCGGAGATATCATATTCTGAGTGGGCTCCTAGAGTCCAAACAAGTAGGGGGCGCCCAGTGTTGGAGTCCAACTCCATAATTGAATCCTTTGATGTCGCCCTTGTCATTGCTGTGAGTTTCCAGCTCCCGTTTATCGGAGCCAATGAGGCAATAAACTCCTTCGGAGCATTGTCCATAACAACATGTTGGTGAGTACACGGTTTGCTCGAACTTTGTTTTTACTTTGCTTATCTGGCCATCTCTGACTTAGGTTCTTTCTACTTTCAGGCCTTCCAGCAGATGGGGGCCATCAATGAACGTTTTGGGGGGTACAAGCAGGCGGCAAAAAATGCCGAGAATGACCTGGCCTACAAGAATTAGCACATTTGGGGGGTGGAAAGGACGGTCTTCGATCAATTCAAACACATCACTAACCTTATCCACAAGGCCAATGCCTTTGTCGTTGATCTTGAGAAGACGAAGGCAGTCAAGGCCGTCAAGAAGGTGGAGGAGTACAAGTTTTGGGTTTCAGTCGGTGAGGTCAAGCTGCAGGAAGCCAAGTCCATCATCAATGAACTTACAGCCAAAGTTGATGCCCTAGAGGCCGAGAAGGCTGCGGAGCCGAAGAGCAGCAAGAGTGTCAGAGGGTGTGGCTTGACTGCCAAGATCAGATGGTCTCGGCCTTCAAAGAAGCCAAAAAAGAAGGCTTTCAAACAAGGCTGGGATGCTTCCCTACACGCCACCTTGGTGGACCTTGGCTCAGATTTGTTTGCAATGCACAATTGCCTCGCAGATCCCTCAAAAGGGTCTATTCTCGAGGAGCAACTACGATTAGAGCCAGGCCCCAAAGGATCAGCTGAAGGGGCGGGGTGAAGCGAAGGTTAGAACAAACCAATCACACTTAGTGACAGTGAGAGCCCTGAACTCCCTCGGCTTCCTTCCCCTCCCCCCCACCCACC